TACTTCTCTGAATGCTTATTTCATATAATCTTAGTACTCCATACATCAACTTTTTTTTCTCTTAAATTTTTCTTTTCCCAGGAGGGGTGTGGGCAGGAGGGGTACTAGGAATTGAACTCAGGAACTTTCTATCTTTGAGTTATATCCCCAGCCCTTTTAAAAATTTTATTTGAGGCAGCATCTTGCTAAGTTGCCCAGGCTATCCTCAAACTTTCAATCCTCCTGAGTCACTGGAATTACATCCTGAACTGTTTTTGCAGGTACATTTTACTCCTAGGATGAGTCTTGGGACTGAATGAAAAAGAGTTTCGGATTTGCAGTGAAGGCCAGGTGTGGTAGCATGGACCTGTAGCCATAGCACTGTGAGGATAAGAGAAGGGCACTTGAATCCAAGGATTCAAGACCAATCTGGGCAATATAGCTAGACCCCATCTTAAAAAAAAAAAAAAAAAAAAAAAAATCTGAGGGTACCCAAACTACAAGAGTAATAGGGTAAAAAGGCCTGTATTTTTACAATATCTTCAGGTCATTAAAATCAATCAGTCTAGCATTTCTGGGTCTCCTAGCTCCAAATCCATTCTTTCCACTAAATCATATTCCTTCACTTGTATTTCTTAAAAGAAAAAAATTAGTTCTTTTTTAGATACATGAGCTCTATAATATCCTGATTACCATCCTCTACCAACATTTCTACAGCAACTTATGTGTGAATATGTTTACACTACTAGTCTTTTTTTTTCTTTTCTTTTTTTGGTACCAGGGATTGAACCAGGGGCACTTAACCACTAAGCCACACCCCCAGCTATTTTTTTTTTTTTTAAGAGAGCGCGTCTCCTGAGTTACTTAGCATCTTGCCCAAGTTGCTGAGGCTGGCTTTGAACTCCCAATCCTCCTGCCTTAGCCTGCCAAGCCACTGGGATTAAAAGCATGCACCCACTGCACCCGGCCTCTTTTTTGCTATTTAACAAGGCTGGGAAAGGAACTAAAGTACTCACTCTATGGTAAGCAGATGCTCTACCTGTGAGCTACACCTCAGCCCACTGACAAAACCCTTACTCCTTAAACCCTTACAAGGAACAGTCCTCTCTACAGAACAGTTAATTCATTCTCAATTCTTCTTTTTTTAAATAATCAGCTTTTCCTACTTAATCTTTTTTCTTTTTCTACTACTGGGGTTTGAACACTGGACACTCTACCATTAAGTAATATCCCCAGCACTTTTTTTTTGAGACAGGTTTGGCTAGTTGATCCCCCTGCCTCAGCTTCCCTAGGAGCTGGAATTACAAGCATGTATCCCTTTGCTCAGGCTCCTATTTAATCTTAACTACTTGATGTTGCTGAATTAGTGGTACCAAGAAAAGATTATTAGACATCATAAGAAACACTATCCAAGGCTGGGGAAGTAGCTCAGTAGTAAAGTGCTTGCCTAGCAAGCATAAAGCCCTGGATTCAATCCCCAGCACCAAAATTAAAAAATAAGAGATCTTAGAAGGTCTATCCAGCACCAAGGCGTCTGAAACACTTGGAGAACATAGGGTAGAAGTTTCTACTATAGGTTACTGCCCAGAAGAATATGAACAGTGCATAAAGAATTTAAGACTGTCACGAGCATTACACCCAGGAGAGATTCTGGTAAAGTTGTCTCTCTACTGAGAACAATTGCTCGGAAGAATGAGCTAGAAGAAGGCAGAATACCTACTATAAACAATATACCATCCATAAAGAGGGCATTTTCAAGGCCCTATAGGACCGGGGCCTTAACTCTGATCTCACGCCTACCATTCTGAGTACAGCATACACTGAAGACAGGAAAGAATGAACAGTGAATGGATGAGAGGGGGCGACTAAAAGAGACTAAAGAAAGAGGTTTTGACTTGATTCTGAAGGAGACGGGGAACTGTTTGAGGAGTCTTTAAAATGGGTAGTGACACTGTCAAGACTGCACGGTCTAGATGCAAAGTGGAGACTGGAATGGATCGGAGCCCAAAGGACGAGGAGACCACTGAGGAGAAGAAATCCCACGGAGGGCGGAGGGCGCTGCCGGGTGTGTCTGGGGAGAGGGCCTGTTAATGAGTCCAGAGAGATGACAACGAAACCATCAGCTTAGGGCTGGGCAACCTCACAGGAACTGCCCAGTGGAGCCTAAGGTGTGTGTGTGGGGGGGGGGAAGGTGGGGCCTAAAGGAGGAAGCGAAAACCGGCAAGAGCAGAAGTCTCCCGGGGGTCCCCGGAAAGCTCCTCCTCCGCGCCCCTGCAGAACCGCCTCCGAGGCCTCCCGCCTCCCCCAGCTCGCCCGCTGACCGAACGAATTGAGAAAGTCCGCGATTTTCTTGATGCTGCTGGTGATGACTTCAATGTATTCCCGGTTCGCCCAGTCTTGGTGAATCTCTCGTTGCACCGGATCCTCCTGTCCCGCCATGGCGGCCGTCTGAAGAAGAGTGAGTGCGCCGGCGCCTCGACCCCATAGGCCGCCAGTGCGCCTGCGCTGCCAGCCCACGCCCAATCGGTAACCACTAAACCCCGACATTGTGGTGCGCCTGCGCACTGTAGCGCCCTCGCCTGCGTTCTCGCTCCGCTCCCACGCCCTGGAAAACAGATGCCTGAATTCCCTGGGCGAGCTGCACACCCACGCCTGTCACTGGCAGTTCTGGTCATTAGGGGGCGCGTGGGCTCCCCTAGCCTCCTCCCTTAGCGGCTCCAAGATCTTTTGCGCAATCTGTCTCAGCAGTAAGACAGGCATGGTTGATTAAGCCACACTAAATACAAGTCACTTAGGAAATGCCTTTCATATGATGCACCATGTAATATGACGTCCCACTTTGCGTTTAACAAATGAGCAAAGCATAGCAACAATCGGGCACAGTGGCTCACGTTTGTAATCCCAGCGACTTAGGAGGCAAAGGCAAGGAGGATCACAAGTTCAAGGCCAGCCTGGGCAACTTAGCCACTGTCTCAAAGTAAAAAAAAATAAAAAGGGCTGGGGTGATAGAGCGTCCCTGGATTCAGTTCCCAGTAACGCAAATAAACGTTTACGATAAGATCCAGTGATGGAGAGGCCAAGCCAGAATAGGTAGGGTCAGAGGTAGTTAGTTGGTCACAATGTTAACTAGTATCATCCTTTCAGAAGGAATCTTGCAATCTGGTAGCAATCGCCAAGTAAAACATTTCAAAGCTTTTGACCCCTAATCATTTCATTAAAAAAAAAAATCAGTGGGGAAAAAAACCCACAAAGACCACTTTAACCACAAAGATGTTCTTCGTGGTAGTAGTATAACTATGGAAGAATGGCTAATACTGTAAATATTATGCAGTCATGAAATGTTAATTATGATCATTTTGGCAACAAAATGTCACATGATAAACTGAAGGGGAAAACAATACATATTTTTCTTTAGTGGCAACTATGTGTTAGTTGATTAGGACTGCCCTGGAAAGGTAATACTGGCCTCCTGGAGCAAGTTCTCCAGAAGGGAAGTTGTTATAAAAGCCTGAACCCGGCCGGCCCCTCCCACCTCTCTGCTTCCTGCCTCTCCTTGTATTTCCATATTTCATGAATGTTGCCACCATGTGCCATGGGGCCCTCTCCAGAGCCTACACCACATTGTTATGGATTCAGCCTCTACAATTGCAAGGTAAAGAACTTTTTTTTTTCCTTTATAAGTAACCTGCCTCAGCTATTTCATTGCAGGAATAAAAAAGCTAATACGAGGAGATTCTGGTTTTCCATATGTTGCTATATATCACAATTGGAGGGATGATAAATGACACTTCCAGGAACTCATCCCCAGCCCAAGGTAACCATTCTTAATGGTGCTGTGCTAGGACAATTATGGGTGTACAAGAAAAAGGCAGGTGGGCCATTAGTTCCCCCCACACACAAATACTGCTGGACAATGCAGTAGATAGGCACTGGGGATTCAGGAGTTAGCTTGGTGGGCTCCTTCCTTCCCTCAGCCATCCAGGGCAATTGAAGCAATGCTTACAAACTTGACAAGTCACTTTTTCAGTATGATGAAAGCATCAGTTTTTCAGCATTGCAACATGAAACAGAATTGCCCTCCCCAACCTGTGAGTACTAGTAGATGAACCCAGGATGCACTACCACTGAGCTACACCCTATCCCTTTTTATTTTAGGGGGACAAGGTCTCACTAGGTTGTCCAGGTTGATCTAGAACTTTCGATTCTCCTGCCTCAGCCTCCCCAGTAGCTGTGATTACAGGGCATACGCCACCATTCCCCAGAAGAATAATCCTGAAGTTTAACAGAAGCAGACAGGTTTTCAATCAGGAAGTCAAGGAAAGATTTTTTTTTTTTTTCCTCTCTTGACAGGCAAACATTTGTAATAAGTTCTGTCTCCTTGCACTGGATCATTTCAATACAGCAGCAAAAGCCTTCAGGACCCTCGGTCCTTAATTCTGAATATAGGCAGAGGGTAATAGTACACATTATTATTAGTAGTAGTAGTAGTACTGGGGATTGAACCCAAGTATGCTTAACTGCTGAGCAATACCCCCAGGCCTTTTTTGAATTTTATTTAGAGACAGGGTCTCGCTGAGTTGCTTAGGGCCTCGCTAAATTGCTGAAGCTGGGTTTGAACCCCCGATTCTCTTGACTTAGCCCCCCAAGCTGCTAGGATTACAGGCGTGCACTACCACCCACGGCTTGATACAGATTTTTATCCCTAACTACAGGTCCAGGATTTTTACACCTGACCACAGCCTTTGTGGTGGAGGTTTCTGTTCTCTGTGACCTGATCAAAGGCTCACAGGTACGGTAGGATGGGGATGGGAAGGAATTCTAACTAGCCCTGCTGAAACCTGAGTCCTGGACCAGGCGTTCCAAGGAGTGAGTGGGAGGCCAATCCTGACACCTCCCAGTGGGGCGGGGCTCGGATTCTCCCCCAGGGGTCCTGGGTCACAAAGGCGGTTGCCAAGCGCCGGTGGAGAAAAGATGCTGCTGCCACTCTGGAGCGTGCGGCCCGCGGAGTTCAGCAGGTGAGCCCCCGGCCCGGATGGTGGGACCGGGCCCGGGCTCCCACCTCCTCTTCCGCCTCGGCCAGCGCCGTCTGGCCACCGCACCCGGGGAGGGGTCCCAGGGGGACAAGCCCCTTCTCCAAGCACTCCAGCTCCTCGGGATCTGTTCACACAGTTCACGAGGACCTCAGCTGCATTTGGGCGCTGCGTTCCCCTTTCCAAGGTGGGGAAATCAAGGGACTGGGTCCCTTGGAATGGGAGGAATGGTATGAAAGGGAAAACTTTGGGGCCAGAAAAACCAGGTGTTCCCTATTTCGGAGCTATTACAGTAGCTTTAGTAGACTTCCTATTCAATCCCTCCTGGAATGGGTGACAGTGACTTCTTGCTTGGGATGGGCTGAACCATTTTTAAACCTTGTGTGAAGGGGTGCTAAGCCCTCTCTTCCATGTTGTTTCTGAATATTCAGGCTGGACATGTGACAAAGCCTTTTATCTTAGGCTGTTTCCTCTTAGGAGGGTCAAGAAAAGGATCCTGAGGATTTGACTTCTTTTTTTTTGGGGGGGAGGGGGCATATGTTCAGAGGAATTAATATTCTCCATCCCATTTTGTCATAGTGGCATACCAAAGTGGCCCCAATCTTGTATGTATGTTTTTAAGGTCAAGATATCTTGCATCAAAAGCCCTTCAGAGACTGGAACAGATAATTATCCCTTGGGTGCCAATTTTTCATCCTAAGGCAGCCCAGATATTTGAATATTTAGTAATTTGCAGGAAGGCTGCGTAGAACATGAGAACATACCAGCTGCAGTAAACCAACCCATCTCCTTCATACTAACCATTGCTGGGGCAGTTCTGGGTTGAAATGTCACCAACAATTCTTTTTAAAAGATGAATTTCATTGCTTCAACACTATGGTGAAGCTGTCAACTTCTCAATGATGACAATTACTGGGTGGGATGAGATCAAATCTACCATTGTATTTTGTGGGAGAAGCAAAGAGAGAAAAATACACTTGGCTAGAAAGAAAAGGGATTTGCTATATATGTCCCTTGACATAAAAGGTAGATACTCAAGAAATGTGAGCATCTCTTGAAATCAGTAATGCCCTTAAGTATTGTCAGTTTTGAAACAGAATGATGGAAAGCTCCAAATCTACTTGGATAAAGTATGAGTTAGCAATCTCCTCCCAACCCCCCCCCCGCCCCACCCCTTTTTGGGAGGTGGTGCTGGGGATTGAACCCAGGGCCTTGTGCACGTGAGACAAGCACTCTACCAATTGAGCTGTATCCCCAGCCCACCTCCCAACCCTTCATCTTCAAAGACAAAATCATCATCATCATCATCAAGATCTTAACCAGTGGGTCAGTGGGTCTCACATGGATGAAAAAACAAAAACCCATACCCAGAAAAACAAAAAAATGCTTTAGAATATTTTAAGAGACTCGCCCGTGGAAGTGTTTCCCCTCAGCCTGGTGTAACTCCTCTAAGGTGGTCCCCAGTTGCCTAGGACTCAGAAGAGCTGTTCCCTTTGTATCAGGAAACAGACTCTTAGGGGCAAGAGGGAGGAGACTGTCTCCATTATGAAAAATAGTGCAAGCTGGCTGAAAATGCTTAAAAGGAACACTGTAAGTTGTTCTTGAACTGAAAAGTACAGTGGAGTCCCCTGGAGGGTTTGTATAAATGCAGGTTTTTGGACCCCACCCCAGAGTTTCTGATTCTGAGGTCTGAATTGGGGCCTAAGAATTTGCATTTCTACCTACTTCCCACCAGAAAGCATACTTGGGAACCACTGATGTTAAAATACATGGCATTAAGGGTGACCTATTTTTAAGATATGGCCTGAGCTGCTTCTAATCTCAAATAATAAGATCTCATCATGAAGTCCCAGCACCCTCTGTCACCCCAGAGGCATATATTCTGTCATGAGCAGTTACCAACACAGCACAAGTCCCAACAATGGACTGGGACATTCCATGTCAGACAAATCCATTTCCTCATTTGTAGGATGAGTTAAAACCTCCCTTCAGAGGCTTGTAAAAGGTTTAATAGAATTTTAGTGCACATATCATATTCAATACTCATTACCATCCCCATCCCCTACTGTCCTTTCTAGAATTACTAATACCCTGTCACTAATGGAATCTGTTCGTGGGAACCACAAAGTAAGTTTAAGTCAGTAATGAAACAGATGTGAACTGTCATGGCCATGACCTCGCCGGGGAAATTCCATGTTTTTGATTCCTCTCCTTTAGGACTGTCAATGGCAGGATATCAGCTCTGGTCACCATGGACCCCACTGGATGAGAGCTTCCAATGGCTGCGGCATACAACACCTACCCCTTCCTCCAAGCACCCCTTTAGGGCCTCCCCCTGTTTTCCACATACCCCTTCTGACCTTGAAGTGCAGCTGTGCTTTCAAGAGGTCACTCTAGTCCTAGACAGCCCGTTCCTGGAAACTGGAGTGAGTCCCAAGTTACCCTGCCACACGTCAGAGCTCCGAACCATGAGCAACAAGAAAGGACTGGTCAGGAAGCCCCAGCCTATCCGCCTCAGTGGAGTGGATTCTGTCTTTGGCAGGGTCATCACGGCTCAGCCACCCAAGTGGACTGGGACCTTCAGAGTTTCAGACAAGTCAGCCTTCTGCAAAATTATCAGCAGGGAGCACCAGTGGCCCACTGGACTTAAGGAGCCTCAGATTCAGATGACAGTGACTATGTGCAAACAGATGCTGCGCTCCATCCTCCTGCTGTATGCAACATATAAGAAGTGCACCTTCGCCTTACAACACTCCAAGTAAAGGGTCCCCATCTGATCCCCCCAATCTTCACACCATGTTCTTTGGTATGTACCTGAAGCTTACACAAATCTGTTCACATAAATGAAACTGTGACACTGCCCCAGCTATTCTGCTTTCCTGTGAAGCAGTGATAATTCAGGAGCCCCTGTCTCTCCAAAATAAGGGGAGGGTGGGCAGTGATAACAGTGCAAGGGAGAACATTTCCATTGTAAAGTTGAAACGACCATTTAAAAGAGTCAAACTAGCATTGACATGTACATGTGATAAAGAACCATTAAACCATATAAATCAATGAGCCTACTGTGAACTCACTTAAACACCAAAGACAATAATGAATTGGGGGAAAAGGGGATTTTGAGAAAGGAGTGTGCATTTCTTTGTACCAGAGGAAGATGGGGTCAAAAATGTTTATATGAGTCAAGAATTAGTTTAAAAATTGAATAGCCTTCCTCCATCAAAACAATGACCAAAAAACAATACCTCAGGATAGTACTTAAATGGGTAGAAATATTAACAAATATTAAACAATCTTTACAGCCTGGCAAGAAAGAACTTGGTAGCAGCACTGAAATTGGGCTTTTTGGCAGAAGAAAGGAGAGCCCTCCATTTTAGATGAAGTATATTCATAATGTTCTGTTTCTAATAAACAATTTTGTAGTATTCTTGTAATTAGATTATAGGTGCAATTCAGAATAATGTGGAAATAAATATTATTTATGTATGCAAAGTCAGCATAAATTTGATGATGCCTCTTCTTCCTTTGTCTTATACTACTATAAGGATCCAAAAAATTATAAGGTAGTAAAATATTCCTTTTGATTCTGTCTTGAGTATTGAAAGAAGTTCAGGTCACTTCTCTAGAAAGATCACAAAGATGATGCCATCATATGTGAGAACAGTCCTTGTAATAGAGGAGATGATTTTCAGTAGAAAAACTATGTTGGCACCTATCCCTATTATTTCTCTGCACAAACTTCAATTCTACCTAGTCCTTGAATAATAAAAGAAATCTAGGGCCTGGGGATATAGCTCAGTTGGTAGAGTGCTTGTCTCACAAGCGCAAGGCCCTGGGTTCAATCCCCAGCACCAAAAAAAAAAATAATAAAAGAAATCTAAACAAGAAAAAGGTGACTAAGGCAAAACTTAGAATTTATTTGTTAAAGTGATATAAGCCTAAATTCTAGAATAAATCTGTTTCAAAACTAGTGCACAAAGTCCAAAATCATGACTGAGAGAGTTTACTCTGCAGTACAGCACAGCCACATTTATCCAAACCAGAAACAATGCTTCACTGGGATTCCAAGCCAGGGACTTTGACAATGATAGACAATCTGTGAAATTCACAAATTAAATAAACCCCCTCTTGGAGGACGAAACAGGATACTTCCAAACAGAAAGAGCAGATTTCAAACCCTGAATACAAAATGGTAAGAGAGTGGCAGAGAAGGGAAAGACAGCAGCAGCCTCTTGGGGTCTAATCAGAGTTGTCGTCACTCTCATCACTATATTGCTCCTTTTCTCCATCACTTGCTTCATCATCTTCACCATCCTAAGGAGCAAAGGACAAGTATTTTAGGCCATTGATCTACAAGACTCAATGAATTGCAAAAAAGTTCCCACCGATATATACTATACTACTTCATTGTTGAAACCAATGATAGATTTTAAACCACTGTTATGGTTTAGATGTGAGGTGACCCCCAAATGCTCCTGTGTTAATGCAAGGATATTCAGAGGAGAGATGATTAGATTATGAGACCTGCTACCTAATTATTCTAATTTGAATCGACTGGCTGGGTGGTAACTGTAGGCAGATGGGGCAAGGAAAAGTGTCACAGGAGGTGTGAGTGAAGGGGGGGTTCATCTTCCCTGTGGCCCCTTCCTCACCTGCTGTCTCTGCTTCCTGGCTGCCACAGTGGAGCAGTGCTCCTCCACCACACCCTTCTGCCAAGATGCACTGCCTCATCTTAGGCCCAGAGAAATGGACTTGGATGTCTATGGACTGAGACCTCTGAAACTGGGAGCCCCAAATAAACTTTTCCTCTTCTTAAGTTGTTCTTGGATATATGTTGGTCACAGCGATGAAAAGCTGAATAATACCTTCTTTGTAAAATGAACCAGAGGCTCTTTTCATTTTTACTGAAGTATTGGGGATCAAACTTAGGGCCTCACACATGCTAAGCAAGTGCTCTACCACTGAACTATATCCCCAGCCCTTCTTATTTTTTGAGACAGTCTCCCTAAGTCATCCAGGCTAGTCTGGAACTTGAAATCTTCTGCCCTTAGCCTCCTGAGTAGCTGGAATTATAGGCATGTAACACCATCTTAATTCTTGAGCTCTAAACCAAGACCATGGATGGAGATCATTTTGATACTGACTTATCCCATACTGCAAGCAAACCAAATTTTCATGATTTTTAAAATTGGCCATAGCTTTCCAGCTCTTTTTTTTTTTTTTTTTTT